CGGCCGGCTCGGTGGCGGAGGCGGCGGCGGCGGCTTTGGGGGTCGCGGCGGAGCAGGCCCCGTGCGGACCCGACAGAGCCTGAGCAGAGGCAGAAGCAGACCCACGCCGTACAGCAGGGTAGGAGAAAAGAAAGAGATGGGGAGAGAGAAAGAGGAAAAATGGAAAAGCGTGGCGCCCGAAAATGCCCGGGTCTGCGGAGCTTGTGCGTTTAATATCCTAACGTGCTAATAGAGCTGTTACTCACTGGAGTGTCTCTGGAGAAACAAAAATGGCTATATTTATTGCTAGATGTCCAATTTACCCGATTCACTTTCCTTTTTAAGGAAGAAAATAATTAAAATGCCTAATGTTTTCCTTTCTCCCCCAACCTCTTTAACCTTTCGTGTTTAACCTAGTTGAAAAGCGGGCGTTATCAGGAGACATGTTTGTTTTTTTTTTTTCGGGCTGCTGTGCCGCCCGGGAGCGGAGAGCTCAAGTCTAAATTTGTTCGAGTGTCTAGAAAGAGCAAAACGCCATTTTTAACGGCCACGAAGACGCGGTGCAGCCGCCGGCGAGGACGGGAGGCCGGCGGCGGCGGCGGAGGAGGGAGCGGAGCGCTGCGGAATGAATGAGCCGGCTTTGTGTGCGCCCGGCCGGGCTGTCCGGCCAGGAGGCGGCCCCCCGGAGCTCCGGGCTCCAGCCCCCCGCCGAGCAGCGCTGGCAGAGGCGGGGGAGGCTGTGGAAGGACACTGATCGGCCGGAGTTAGCCGCCGACTACACTGCGGTGGCCGTGCACCCGCAAGGGGTCTCCGCTTAGCTGATCAAGACAAAATGGCGCAGCTACAAAATGGACGCTCTCTGCAGGCAGGGCTCCGAGGCCTCGGACCGCAGCTGCAGCTGCCCTGCGGCGACTCTTCCACACGGGGACTCTGTTCCACTAGAGAGCCGCCTTTCTGCAGAAACACGATCGCGGGGGATCCACGGACTTGATCCTGCGGCGGGGCGGCGGACTCTCCGGGCCTCAGGACCGCAGGCGGAGGACAGGCTCGGCGAGGGGGGTGGAGAGGCGCCGCTGCACGGATTGGCCCCCTTTTCAACACCTGCGGCTGGAGTCTGAGGGACCCTCGGCCGGGGCGGCGGCGGGCTGGGACCTGCCCCCGGCGGGCGGGTTACCGGGACACTCGGTTTCAGAGGCGGGAGGTCGGATTGGCAAGGGGGCAGTGAAGGGGTAGGACCCGGCGCTGAGCCGACGGCGAGCACCTCCGGTGTGCTGGTGCCTTTTCCGGCCTTGTTCCCTTTTAAAGCTGTGATCAGTGCGCACCTGCACTGTAACCTTCCCGTTTCTCCAGGGTAGCGCAGTTTCAGCCATTGCTCCTGAGTCTAGTGTAGCTGCCTCGTTAGGTTTTAAACAGCATTGAATGCATTTCTTGAGCAGAATGTTCATTTTACCCACAAGGCTCTGTTGGGGGGGGTTATGTGGCTTCTCTTTTGGGGGGTGCACCTAGTGTTTGACCTTTGGGGGGGGTTCACAGTGATACTTTTATTTGGATCAGCTCCCGGAGGCAAGTTGTCTGCGGCCAGCTGGTGCTCCTGTCTGGTCTTGGGGGCTTTCCTGGTGGGGCAGGCGGAACCAGCCC